GCTGACGCCGATAATTTGCGATTTGTGCAGCCCCCCGCCGGCCGGCAACATACGCACCAGCACGCCCAGGGGCTGCGCGAGCGCGGCGTGGGGGGCGTCGGGCGCGGGCTCGAGGGGCGGGAGCTCGTGCTCGTGGCAAGGTTCTTCGCGCCGTGGGTGAGGGCGGGCGGTGTGGGGCCGTATGCATGGTGTGGTGAGTCGTCTGTCTCCCTCCTTCCTTCCTTCCCTTCCTCCTTCCCTTCTTCCTCCTTCCCTTCTCCCTCCTCCCCCCCTCCCCCCCCCCTGTACAACAAGCAACAAATGCTAACGACAACGCCTTCTAGACACCCTCCCGCAGCACACGCCCGCGCAGCAGGCGGGCACGGACGTCTCGCCGTCGGGGCGCGCGTGGGTCGGCGCCGGGGGCGGCGGCGCGGGCGAGTGGTGGGATAATAATGGGGGAAGGGATTATCGGGTTGGGTTTCGGTGTGTGGGTGTTGGTGAGTCGGTTTTCTTTTCGTCTTGCCTCTTTCTTCGCTCTGTCGCGGTTATATGAACGAACGAATACGCGCTAACGCACCGTGCAGAACCGACACCCGCGCCCGCGCCCGCGACGAATATCATCCCGTTCCCGAGGGCGGCGTCGCCCGCGCTTGCGCCTCCTCCCTCATCCACCCTCGCTCCCTCCTCGGCATCGCCCGCGCCCTCAGAAGCCAAGCCGACGACGACGACGATCCCCCCGCCGCCGCCGCCGCGCACGGCGCACGCGCAGGCGCTAGCTGCGAAGCTGGGAAGGCTGAGTTTAAGGAACTATGCGGCGCCGGGGCGGGCGGTGTCGTTGCCGTCGGCGGCGGCGGCGCAGGGTCCTGCTGCTGCTGTGGCGAAGCAGGAGACCGCCAAGGAGAAGGAGGGTGGGGAGAACGAGAAGAAACAAGAGGAGGAGGCGGACAAGAAGGAGGGGGAGAAGGAGAAGCCCGCGCCGGGGACGCAGAGTGCGGGCGGGGTAGGGCTGTATTGGCCCTGGGGGCGCGCGGCCGTCGCTGCCCCGCCTGCACCTGCGTCGCCTGTGGTGGCCCCGGCTGCCGCTCCGCCTGGTGCCGCACACACGAACGGACCCGACGACGACTCCGGCTCGTCGTCGTCCGACGACGAGGAGGAGGGGCTGCGCGACGCGGAGGCGGGGCGGGCGCGGCGCGCGAGCGGCTTCAGTGCGCAGGGGGACGGCGAGGAGACACCCCCGACGAGCCCGCTCGGCGCGGGCGGGCTCCTGCCTGCCCTGGAGGAGATGGGGCTGTCGGGGGGCGAGGAGGAGAAGGAGAAGGAGAAGGGCGGCCCGGCGGACGTGCCGCTGCCGGAGTCGCCTGAGCGGGTGATGTCGCCTTCGCCTGCCCGCCGGGGTGGGAGTGCGAGCCCGACGACGCAGCAGGCACAGACGCCGACGCCGCCGGTGAGCCCGACGACGCCGCTGACGCCGAGCGCGGCGGACGCGTCGTCGAGCCTGTACAAGGCGTTTGTGCGGCAGTGGTGTTTGCGGGCAACGGCAGCGGCGGCGGGGCGAGTGCGGGGGTGAGCCCGCCGCCGGGGTGGGGGCGACGGGCGTGCTCGGGGGGCTGGTGTAGGTTGGTGCGCTCGTCATGGCGCGGTGCAAAAGAGAAGAGAGGAGGGACGGACGAGATGACGTGCAGGATGGTCGGCCGGCGTTAGGTCGACGCCGGAGAACGCAGCACGACGCCACGACAGGAGGAACGGAGGACGAGGACGAAAATTGAACGAACCAATGTACGACGCGACACGACGATAAAAGCAGAACAAAACGTGCCGCACTCGCACCAAAAAAGCGAAGAACGACACTGTACGACGCGACACGACGATAAAAGCAGAACAAAACGTGCCGCACTCGCACCAAAAAAGCGAAGAACGACACCACACCAGACGGACGATGGATCCACGGACGCGGTGCAGCCGCAGATACACGCGATGAGGCGGGACGCGCCCGCGGGTTGTCTTCGGCTGTCTATGACTTTTCGGCGGGCGCTCGACGACCGACCGAGGCGGCGCTCCCGACCGACCGACAAACTAAAAGGCGCGCGGAAGCAATCGCACGAAGCGCCCCCACCGAGGATCCGAATCCCCGACTGGACTCTTTTCTTATTTATCCCTCATCATATCTGGCTGGCCGAGCGCCCCCTCACCACACTCTTTTCCTTGTTGTACAACACTCACTCTGCGCACGGACGGTCGGCTGCCCGCCACTGCCACTTTCCGCACATCCCCGCCCACCAGCACCAGTGTACTCGCATTCATCTTTTGGTGTCTTTGGTTTTTTGGTTTCCTGCCCCTTTATCTTATCTCTATCTCTGCATGCAACATATGTACATCACCCATCTTTCTCATTTTGGCGCGTGTACGATACTACGATGCGACGATACTTTTTTGGCGCGATCTCCCTCCCATTTCAATTCGATTCAGATATACTTCACACGTACCCACAAACACGGACAGATATAGATGCGCTCAGCGGACTTGCCGTGAAGCGCACGTAACATACATACGATACGATACGAAGCGGACACTCCCGCGCGCCCGCCAAACACGCCTATCTACAAATATAGGGCGGGCGGCGCGGTCGATATATATAGTGGTATTTTTTGCTAACTTATTTTGGATCGGGGCCGTGTCGGTCAGGCTATAGATTGGGTTTGCACGATTGTATTTTCGGTTACTTAGTTACAACGGTGTATGTACAATAGATGCATATAGATGTGTTGATTCGTTGCGTGGTTTTGTGGGGTCTTACTTGACTGGCGTAGTGTGACGGAGGGAAGACGCCTGAGGAACGCGCGGGGACGAGTAGGAACGAGTAAGTAACCTCGGACTTGCGGGCTGACATTTTTGTGAACACTTGAGTGGCGTGGTTTGACGGGAGGGAAATTGCTCGAGGAACGTGCGCGGACGAGGATAAGATCGGGAGTACTGGAAGACCTGCGGGCTGACATTTAATGGCGGCGAACTTGGGCATTGTGGAAGGTGGAGCAGGCCGACAGCGGCTAGCAGGGATAACAGCAGAAAGTCGTCATTTCTGACGCGTAGACAAAGAGTACCGTTGACCGCCGGTTCCAGAAGATCTTCTGGTGGTTGCTGAGACGTTGAGACGTTGCGGGAGAACGACGAGCAAGATTGATACCAGAAAGACTGTACTCCCCGACGCGGATCGGACGGACGAAGGGAAGGGGAAGGGGAAGCAAAGCAAGCAGGTGAACAAGGTGGGATGAGTCAAAGTGTCGTAGTTTGATTTTGGGCCGCCGGATGGGATAGGTCGATAAACCGGCGACGAAGCCTGAGGATCGCACCGGCGTCGACGAAGGCGAAGGCGGACCCAGTGGGACCGGGTATGAGGAGAGAAGGTAGAGCCGGGTTGCGGTAAGACGCCTCGTTCCGCGGTGAAAGGAGAAAGCAGTAAGCGTGCGGGGACAATTTGCTGGGGGAAATAGGGAGGAATGGGGAAACGACATATGCGAGGAAGCTGCTGGAAGCTGGGTATATGTGACCGAGGTGTGGAGTGGGAGCGGGAGATAAGCGCAAAAGAGGCGCGTCATTCATGACGTCGGTGAGAGCGCGCGGGCAAATCTGATGAGTTCCAAGATAAAGGCGAGGCCCGCAAGGCCGTTCACGCGGACAGTTGTCATGGTCTTGTGGAAGAAAGATCGTAGGGAAATGTGGTCGGCTAAACTGCGAGAAGAGCTTTGCAAAAGGTAGCAAGAAGGAAGCAGACCGTGGAGGATCTCCATCTTGCCATAATATTAATTGTTGCACGCCAGACAGTTGACCGAGGTCGATCGAGCCTTGTATCAGAATCAGACTTGGTGGCGTCGAATTGCGACGGGGCGGGGCGGCATTTGGTTAGCGCAACACGCAGTGATAAAATCTCGACCACAAAAAGCATGGGATAAAGTGCATTGTTCCAAGCCACTAAAGTCTGGGCATGCTAATCTTGTCGTCTTCTTGTTGCGGTTAAATATACTTTGCACAAGAAATCAGAAGAAACCGTCGCTGTTGTATACATGCCCAGGATGGCAGATGCGTAGAGATATCGAGGCAGACATGCTCGAAGAGGGAACCAAGTCTCGGTGGATCGATCGACAGCGAGCCACGGCAGTCAAAAAAGCTTCGCGCGCCAGTGCTTCCGGCGGGACCGTCAGTCTGAATATGGCACGGGTGTGAGTGCAAGGTCTTCGAAGAGCGGCGCTACGACGAAGATATGGTAAATGTCGGAATATCCACTGCAGCTGCAAGGTCGACCAGAGCTGCCGTGCGGGTGCCTTGTTTGCCGGCCACCAAGTTTCTGTCCAGGGGAATCAAGAAGTTGCGTATATCGAGCTGCGGTACAAGTGCGAAGACGTTCGGCGGCTGCTGGGTGAGAACAAGAGATATTTTGAACGGTACAACAGCACGGCTGGCGCAGCCGCAGTGTTCTGGCTCGCATGGCCCCTCGGACATTCCACGCTTCAATAACGCGGCCAGTCGACACCAAGGTTAAAGCGCTGGATTTGAAGAGAGTTGCTGCGATTTTAGAGCGGGAGTCGCACCGAGGTGTTCCTTCGGGGAGCAAGCTTCGCGACCGAACGACCGTGGGTGCAGCCTAGTCCAGAATACGGCCCTTTTTTGACTTTGGAATACATTGCAGATCCAACGGCTTGCCCCGACGGGATGAGAGCGCTCAGCAAAGATTGTGGCGCAAATACAGAGGTCAGGCGAGGATCTCGAGAAAGCAAGCGACTGCACTGCACTGGGCCGAGCGAGAATCCGAAATCGAGCCAAGCACAAGAGTTTAGAGTTGCGGCAGTGTCTGCACAATGCGGACGCAGAGGGATGGAGAGCAGATGCGGACCACGCCGGGGGAATTAGTGATTGCAAAACAAAGATAACACCACTCAGCGTACCAATGCAAATAAGGATGAGTGGCGATTCGACGCAAAGGTCACTACCAGGGCCCAAATTCCACTTGGGAGCAACCTAGCATGTCTTGACTAGTATATCGGTTAGTACACGCGCTTGTCATAAACCATACGGCAATTCAGATATGCGCGCGAAAGCTGGGTTCGACTCCCAGGTCGAGAGTTTCTTTTTCTCAATCGCAGGTCAATCGCAGGTCAATCGCAGGTCAATCGCAGGTTGCGCGCAGGTCTCGGTGTAGGGCGTGACCAAAGCCCACAGTAATTCACTTGAAGTTGCACCCGGTCTGCGTTGTACGCACCTTTCGTCTCGCAATTGCCAGTGCCTTTCTATCAAAGTTAACGCGGTTTACTTCCAGCGGTCTTGCCACAGATGTGTTACCGATCCAAGGGCAGGATGGACTTTGACATGTCTTGACTAGTATATCGGTTAGTACACGCGCTTGTCATGCGAATGCCATTGCATAACCGCGCGCGAAAGCTGGGTTCGACTCCCAGGTCGAGAGTTTCTTTTTGCCGGCTCTCAATCCCTTACTTAGTATCATAATGCCAGCACTTCGATGCGCACCGGCCCAACTGTCGAACGTCGAGCAATTTGATGTTGAACACCAATCCTGAACCATCCATCGGAGACGGTCCACAGATAAGTCATAATCATCCTTGAAAAGCTCATTCTTAATAAATTCAACGGATGGTTTCAACAAGCGAGGTACGAGCTCAAAATTGTTGAAGCGTCTGCCTATGAAAGACTAGGTACTATGCTGAGCAAGAGACGGTATTGGTCAGATGTCCTCAGAGCAGCCCTTGGAGGAGAAAAGACACAATTGGGACCCACCCAGAGGGCTTTGGTCTTCGCTTGTGTCCTGGTGCCTTCCTGCTGGTTTCTCATATTATTATGAAATTTTGATCATCCTCGTGCTTCGTCCGTCCCGTTCAACTTCTGCGGCACGGTTGCGGAGAGCCATTAATGCCTCGTTCCTCGGCAGAAAATGCAGGAAATACGCGTGTTGGTCATCGAAACTGTTCTAATCGCGCAAGAGAAGGTTCCTTTGGCAGGTTGAAACTCTCGGCGCAAGCGGCAATGGATGTTGCGGTTATCTGATAGCGGCGATAACACCAAGATCGAGAGATAAGATCGATAAGATAGAATCCTGCAAAAATAGCGCAGCCCATGCAAGTGGTGAATTGAACCAGAAAAACGGAATTGAAGGTGAAACGGTCAAAGCGTACATTACGAAGACCGATTTGGGCCCGAACTTGAATTCACGAAGGCAACTGATTTTTTTGGAGGTGTCGTATTGGAAAGGTGGGACGCAAAGACGGATTTTTGACGCCGGCTGCCTCGTCGCAGTTATCCCGGCTCACGTAAATAGACGTTGCAGGGTTACTCGATTTAAAAGATCTGTCCCACAGACATTAGATAACGGCGGTGGTTAAATAGAGGAGATTGAGATTATCAGATACCAGTCTTCAACCTCGCGAAAGCTCTACATTCATACCTCTCCTGAATATGCCATCCCACACACCTGTTGTCACCCTCGACTACCATGACTTTCTGATCGCCGCGCACTGTGAGCAATTTTCCACTGCACACAAACCGACCTTGATATTATCTTTCAAAGCCATTTTGACGTCGGTGGCCGCACTGATCGCTGCCCCAGCCGCCATCCTCATCGGGCGCTACTTTCGGTCGCGCAGCTGGTGGTTCAAAGCGCACGTCACACTCCAGGCGTTTACCGCCATCTTCGTTATCACGGGGACCGCTCTGAGCCTCGTCTCTGTTGTCCACAACGGGAACGGGAACCAGCTCAGCGGCCGCCTGAAAGACCCGCACCACGACCTCGGCCTCGCTATTCTCGTGCTTTTCCTGCTGCAGTTCGTCTTCGGGGTAGTCGCGCACTACACGCACTCCGCGGGGCACTCCAAGGGCAGCGCCTTCCCGACGTTGACGACACCGAAGAATCCCCTCCGCCATGTGCACGTCGTGTTTGGGATCGTCATGACGGCGTTGTTGTATGCGGGGGTCGAGACGGGGATGGACGAGTGGGATAAAGCGGCTGACAGTGGCACGCGGGTTCCCAAGGGCATTCGCACTGCGTACTGGGTTCTTTTTGGCCTCGCGGTGGCGGCGTATCTTTTGGGGTGGATTTTGGAGCCTATCCGGCGCGGAAGTGAGCGGGATTCTGTTGACGCTGCAAGTCTGGAGAAGGTGGCGGAGTGAGAAGATGGAGGAATGTAGAGGCTGGCGATAGCTTCCGACCCTTTGCAAATTTCTTCGGTACTAGTTTTACTTTTTCGGGCGTGTCGAGTCTCTGCTTTGCAAAAATTCAATCTCATAGTTTCAAGCCAGCGTCGAGATGTTCGAGAGAGCTTAGAGGAACGAGGAGGTTAAGTGAAGGGCTGCGAATTCTGAGCATGAATTCGAAGTTGACGTCGCGCGAGTGTGAATGGGCTAGTGTGGTCACAGCCGGCCAATATGTCGGAGTTCCACCGTTTCAGGTCTCGAGTATCGGTTCAGAGCCGAGCACGCTGGGTGCAGTACGCAGGCGGCAACTATCAAGAAGCCTTATCTGCCAGCGAGTGCAATCCGGACGCCTTGAAAACCGGGGCTATGAGATCTCGAGACAAGACAACTTCCGTGTATGCACGACCGGATATCGATATTGCGGACAAAAAAAGCGAGACAAATGCGCACAGTGTGTTAGAGGCTAAATACAGGGCTTGAATTGGCTGCATAGGCGAATAAATCCTGAGAAGCAGCACATAAACGCCCTGGTGCAGTCCGCCTTTTTATTTTTTCGTGCGTTGAAAAGAGGCACTCCAAGCTACCAGTACCGCAAAGAGAATTTTTCCGCGATGTCCTAGGGCGGGTGGGACGTTAATGGTGCTGGCGTTGAGCAACTAGAGACGGGCCGGCACTTCCCGGCTCGGATTCCTACTTGCCGCAGACCACGACGTTCAACAAAGACTGTACAAGGACGGTGTCTTGGAGAGCTACATTCGCTCTAGACGTTCCCCAACCGTTCCCTTCGACGGTGCTGCTACTAGGGCTCCGACAGTTATCGTCTGTCACGGTTCTCGTGCAAGGTGCCAAGCCACTTCACCCGCGTATAATGGTGTTCCTTCCGGAGGAACTTGTTCATGCCATCGTCAATGAATTCTGTGACGATACTCCCTCTTTGAAAGCATGTGCACTCGCAGGATCCATGCTTCGCGGCGCGAGCCAGCGCCTCTTGCTCAGCTCGTTCACCCTGAACCAAAACATCACTGGAGAAGCTAGCGCTCTGGCTGCCCATGCTCTTCTCGAGGAGTCGCCTCACATTCCGAACTATATCACCCGCCTCAGCATCAGGCTTGAATGGTTCGTAGACGAGGCGAGCATCCAGAACTTACAAGACAGCCTCCAACAGATTCTTAGGAAGATGGTGAATGTGCGCCAGTGCATCCTGAGCGGATCATTTCACCACACTCCAATGTTTATCTCGGCGCTGTTCGATTTTCTTACGCGCCAGCCTCTTCGCGAGCTCAATGTCAACCTCTGGACTGAAGTTTCAGCGGTTACAATTCTGCGTTTCCTCACAATCGCTCCCGTGGTCTCCTTTCGCCAGGTGGTCATCAATCAGGACTTGTCCGCATTATCAGACCACTCCCAACATACCCCGAAAGTTGAAGACTTGTTCATCGACAGGTCTGCGCCCCAGATCCACGAGCTCTTGGCTCAGCCGCAATTCAAATCTTTCACCGGCACCCTGCGCCATTTGTTCGTCTCGTCCCTGAGTGGTGTAGAGCTCCTGGTTGCAACTGCGCCTATGCTGGAACATCTTCATTTGGGGGGTATGTCCCGCGATGAACTGCTTTCAACTTGGATACTGACACGAGACTAGATCTCAGCGGAAAACTCCTCCTACCTGCACTCCCTTTACTCCGCTCCATCGAGTTCTCCTTCTCCTTTTACAAGCCCCGTTGGGACCTCATTTTATCCACCGTTGGAACGAGTCCTCTCCTCGCCAACCTCGTCATTTCACTCGAGGTTGTGCCTCGCCGCAGCACCTCAAACGCAGTGTTGTTGCCCAACCTCGATACTGCGCTTGCGGCTCATCCCAGACGCCCGCGTGTTCGATGGCGGCTCGATTTGGAAAAATTACCGGAACGAGGCTGTGCGCGCAGAAATCCTCGCCAGGTTCGCCGAGGCTGCGGAGACTGGCATGCCGAAAGCGCACGGGGAGAGGCGCCTTGTTCTTGAGACGTATGTGCATGGTCGAGAGCAATGGAGACGGTCGACGGGGAAGTTTCCGTGAACGGCGTGAGCGTATTGAGAACCGGCCGTTTCTCCGATGGCTGCTCTTGCTCCTGGCCTCACTCCCTACCATTAGCACACGGGGGACCATTTTTCGATGGTCGCCGTGTGCAATTGCCTTTTGTGTACAAGATATCAGGATCGGGATCCAGCGAAGGCCGAAGCACGTACGCTGCCATCCATACGCCTGTCCGTGTCCCGGCTCCCCTGTCGCGCACTGAGGCGGGCGGCGTTGACGCCCTCTTCTGCGTCTCATTCACGTCGACCGCCTGGCTCGGCTTGCGTGTCCCTTGTTTCCCCACGGCCCTCGGGGAGTCCTGATGGAACGAAGCCGACTCGCGCGCGCCGTGAGGTCGTTCCACATCGCCCCCCACGCCGACGAACGCCTGGCCCGCTCCGCATGTGGATACAAGTCCCTGTGCAGCCCGGACCCCACGCGCGCTGCTTCGCTTGGAGATATATCTGCCTGGAGCATTCGATGGATGGATCTGCGGCGGCGCATGCCGGTCCCGTTTGTCTACGGTGGCCAAGGAAGCGATGCGGCGCAGTTTACACCTCGCGCTCCAGACTTGTCGGCGTGGGCTTTTGTCCTCTCGCTCCTCTGTTCAGCAATTTGTCGGCTGAATCAGCTTGTCGGCCGAGAATCGGGCAGCTTAGCAAGGGCTTAATGGGCCTTCGAAGCGTGTTTTGTTTTAATAAGCACGCTGGTTCAGCACCTTTGCATAGCAAGCGCGGGAGGCACCAGGCGGCATCTGCATAAGAAACCCCCTTTGAAAATAGCGTCAACGAAAGTAGTCAGCTATCACTCGCTCATAAAGCTCGTCTCCAATCGTACTCTGGAATCAGTCATGTCCTCAGGAAGCCATTGA